ATTGTATGGAGGAAAATCATATGAACTAGAGTTTATAACATCAGAGATAAGTCAAGGGTGGAGTGAAACACCAGAGCAATGGCGGGCACTGCGTCTTACTGCGACTGACTTTTCGCGCTGAGTGACGCAGTCTACGGGGTCTACACACCGCGCTCGCCCACCGCTAGCTCCTACTTGCTCCCTCGTCGAATAATATTGACGTAGCTTTAATTTTGTAAGTTTAAAAGAAACTATCAAAATTTATATATATATATATATATATATATATATATATTTTTTTTTTTTTTTTATTATTATATATTATTTATTATTTTTATATATATATATATATATATATATATATATATATATATATATATATATATATATATATATATATATATATATATATATATATATATATATATATATATATATACACAGTTATATAAATATATATATATATATTTATATATACTGTATATATATATATATATATATATATATATATATATATATATATATGATATATATATATAACTTAGCGTTTGTGGTCAATTCTTGACGTTAGTGGTTAATTCTTACTTGACGCCAGAAATGGTTATCGTATTTTTAACTTTCGTAAACTTATTTTCAAAATTCTTTATTACATCGATTTTTAATATTCAACTGATCAAATTGTCTTGAGATACGTACATATTTGTAAATGAGAAATTTCCCGCCTACAGTATTTTGCTTCCCGCGTCCGGCTGACTGGGCGGCACTGGTTGCTTGGCAGTCTGGGATGGGAGCTGCAGGTGAGCTGCTTTCTCACTATTGGATTTTTTTTTGAATTCCAACAAATTTGGAGAATTAATGTACATGTTTCAAAACTCGAGGCATCACAAAAATTGTGACCAAGTCTCAGGTTGCTGATCTGACTTTCTGCCTCATTTACACAGGGTCTCAATTGTTTCTTACTACTGACACAATATATATATATATATATATATATATATATATATATATATATATATTATATATATATATATATATATATATATATATATATATATATATATATATATATATATATATATATATATAATATATATATATATATATATATATATATATAATATATATATAATTATATATATATATAATTTATATTGTAATATCGTTTCTTGCTCTTCGTTTTTTTTGTATTTATGGTTATTTTTATTTTATAAATTTTAATTATTTGTATTTTTATTAATATTTTAATAATAATTTTTATTAATGATTATGGTGAATTTATAGTCTTACACCGGTCTTTCTTTCGCCGTTATTAATATGTATTTCGTAATGTTTAGACAATTCTCAGACTTCTAGGCTATATTTTCACCGGAAATTAAGGATAACCGAGATATTAATTTTTCAATATTACATTTATTACTGTATTATTATTATTATTATTATTATTATTATTATTATTATTATTATTATTATTATATTCCCCCACCCCAGGCACTGATGTGGGTCAGTGTTGTGCCCGAGTGGGCTAATCTCCGTAAAAAAAAAACGGCTAAATGGGAGCTGGTAGTTATAAACATAATAATTTGGTATTGTATTTCCGCACCCGACATTTCTACCACTAATCTATTATAATCGAATAAGACGTCTAATTATAAGATTATTTTCATCTATTACATTACCGTCGTAAATGTTTAATAACGGAGATAGCTTATCCAAAATGTTCTTTTTCTTCCATTAATCCGCCATTATTGCCTACCTCACCTCCCACGCTGCGTGTCTCCTTCATAAATCATAACGCGCATGCGTTCCCGTACGTCACACAGTCAATCAAAAGCGTTTTTTTTTTGCAACCAATTAAAATGATTTGTGGTTTAATTCGCGGTATTTGTGGCCCAATCAAATTCGATTTTTATTTTGGGTCATATTTAGAAATTCAAATTCTTTTCCGACCATGGAATTCTGCGATGGGTGTCACTTCAATTATACGGAGCTAATTGCGAGTTTTTGTGGAAAAAACGAAGAAACTAGCATTTTTTGATCTCATGGCGTTCTCCCGACCTCAGTAAAGTGTCCTAAGTGCAAGAACGAATGCAAATATCGTCAAGCCCAACATATGTGGCATTGGGGTATCTCCAACGGCGAAGGAGAACCAGGCCAATAAGGTATGAAATAAGTGATTCCATCATATGGTGAGAGTCGGTTAGGTTAGGTCAGGTCAGGTCAGGCCAGGCTAGGCTTATGTTTTTCTATTTTTTTTTGTATTTCGTATTTGCTTAGCCATTATTTTTTTCTTCTGAAAACGCCCCACAAAAAAAAAAAAAAAACCCGGCCAATTTCCAACGGAAATGTAGGTCATAACCTATCTAAATACACTAGAAATATATATTTTTGACTTTCTAACAGTTAGGTGCACTTATACAAATTTACCCATTTAGTGGAAGTTCAGTGGGTGACGGTTGACGAGGACGAAGATAAGTGGTAGTTAAACTATTCATGTGAAATGAATTGTTGCTTCAATTGAGTAGAATTTTTTTATTTGAAATTTCTAAGCCATATCCGAAAAAATGACAACGGTCAATTATCATTCGGCATTTAATGTTCTTGAAGGAAATTTACGCCCGTACAATAATTGAGACACTTGTTTGTTATAGGCGAAAGTAACGTAACACTTTAGAGCTTTGGTTTTGTATGGGGCAAAAATTATACGCACGAGTTAATGTTAGTGAATTTTTTTGGACATGAGCTGATGTTCCTCTCAAGTGGAGCCATGGTTTTTGGCGCCAATTTCTCTGCACTGGACAGTTGAGAGAAATTGGCGCCAAAATGTCACGCCGGGGTAAGGCATGCGTTTCAGTTTTGCTAATAACTTAAAAGATAAGTCAACGATGACAATGAAACACCAGAGTAATGGCTGGCGTTTCTCTCTCCACCGAGATTCTTGCTCGACCAGCAAAATGTATTAAGTGTCTGTGGTTAATTCTTACTTGGCGCCAAAAGTTATGGTTCCAGTATTTTTTTCTTTTCTTTCGTACTTATTTTCAAAATACTTTATCAAATTGATTTAATATTTATCTGATCAAATTGTCTTGAGATATGTACATATTTGTAGATTATAATTTTCCCGCCCTTTTCGCTTCTCGCGTCTGGCTGACACCCGCCCAGTGGGTGGCACTGGCCGCTTGGCGGTCTAGGGTAGGCTCTGCAAGTGAACCGCTTTTTCGCTATTGTATTTATCCCATTTTCATCAATTCCAGCATAAATCTTTGGAATTAATTGACATTTTTTATATAGGTGAACTAAATGGCGTGTGAAGCTGGTAGTTATTAAAAAAAAAGTGAATTTTACTTAGCCACTTAGAGGAAGTTCAGTTGGTGACGGTTGGCGAGGACGAAAATAAGTGGTAGCTAAACTATTCATGTGAATTGAATTGTTGCTTCAATTATTTAGAATTTTTTAATTTGAATTTTTGTTTTACGTCTGTAGAAGTATTGAGACTAGTACATGTTTGTGATGGACGAAACTGACTTACATTTTAGAGTATTCATTTGGAAGGATTTGTAGCTTGAATTATCTTCGACCTTTTTATTAATTTCATTTTCTTTATGCTCGTACAAGCATTGACACTCGTACATATTCGCGATAGAAGAAAATAACGTACATTTTAGAGCCTCAGTACTGTATGGGGGAAAATCCATATAAACTAGCGTTCATTTTCTTTTCGTAAACTGAAGAAATGTGAACCAGACAAGGATCTAGTGCCATGTGGTGATATACAGGTGCTGAAAATGTTCTGGGCCTGTGGAGTTAGATCAAAAGATAACCAAACTTAATCTTTAATGGGGGGGAAGGGGGTAATCTCAGCACTCCTCAAGCTGTCATTAACGTTTCCATAGAACTGCGCAGGTCCAGACCATTTTCAGCACGCCACGTCCCGGGTTAATTTATAAGTACGTCCGCCTCACATGAACATAGTTATGGATGCTAAGAAATTCCAAGTTTAAATTGTATTATCCACATTAAGATTGGTTTATTTATTTACAGGAATCGTGTATCTGCATGGCCACCAGTATCGGAAGTACTCGCCCGGCTGCTGAACAGAAGCCATTAATTCCAAGGTGGGATCAGTGTAGTACTTAGCGTTTTTCAGTACGTGATTTTTTTTACTGCTGCACCTTTGGGTCATCTGGTTGTTGGGCCTGTTTTGGGTCCTCTGGTTGGGACTGCTTTAGGTCTTCTGCTGGTTGGGCCTGTTTTGAGTCTTCTGCTGGTTGGGCCTGCTTTGGGTCTTCATGTTGGGCCTGCTTTGGGTCTTCATGTTGGGCCTGCTTTTGGGTCTTCATGTTGGGCCTGCTGGGGTCCTGGTGGTTGGGCCTGGTCTCTTGCTGGTTGAGCCTGCTTTTTGGGTCTTCTGCTGGTTGGGCCTGCTTTTGGGTCTTCTTGCCAAGGCCTTGCTTTTGGGTCTTCTGCTGGTTGGGCCTGCTTTTGGGTCTTCTGCTGGTTGGGCCTGCTTTTGGGGTTCCCTTCTGCTGGTTGGGCCTATTTTGGGTCTTTCTGGTTGACCTGCTTTTGGGTCTTCATGTTGGGCCTGCTTTTGGTCTTTGGTGGTTGGGCCTGTTTTTGCCCTGGGCGGCTGGGCCTGCTTTTGGGTCTTCTGCTGGTTGGGCCTGCTTTAGTCTTCATGTTGGGCCTGCTGGGTTCTCTGTTGGTTGGGCCTGTTTTGGGGACTTCTGCTGGTTGGGCCTGTTTTGGGGTCTTCTGCTGGTTGGGCCTGCTTTAGGTCCCTCTGCTGGTTGGGCCTGCTTTGGGTTTTCTGCTGGTTGGGCCTGTCTTGGGTCTTCTGCTGGTTGGGCCTGTTTTGGGGTTCTTCTTGCTGGTTGAGACTGTTGGTCTTGTGGCTGGGCCTGCTTTGGGTCTTGTGATCAGTTTGCTTTTGGGCTGTCTCCTATTGAGCCTGCTTTTGGGTCTCCTGCTTGGGCCTGCTTTTGGGGTTCTCTGGGTTGGAAGACTGCTTTTGGGTCTTATGGCTACCTGCTTTGGGTTCTTGTGGCTGGGCCTGCTTTTGGGTCTGTGACTGGGCCTGCTTTTGGGCCCCTAGTTGGGCCTGATTTGGGTCTCCTGGTTGGGCCTGCTTTTGGGTTCTGGTTGGGCCTGTTTTGGGCTGTCTTGCGGTGGCTGGGCCTGTTTTGGGTCTTGCGGCTGGGCCTGTTTTGGGTCTTGCGGCTGGGCCTGCTTTGGGTCCCAGGCTGCACCTGCTTTGGGGTCTTGTGGCTGATCTGCTGGCCCCTGGGTTGAGCCTGCTTTGGGGTCTTGTGGCTGGGCCTGCTTTTGGGTCTTGTGGCTGGGCCTACTTTGGGTCTTGTGGCTGGGCCTGCTTTGGGTCTTGTGGCTGGGCCTGCTTTGGGTCTTGTGGCTGGGCCTACTTTGGGTCTTGTGGCTGGGCCTGCTTTGGGTCTTGTGGCTGGGCCTACTTTGGGTCTTGTGGCTGGACCTACTTTGGGTCTTCTGGCCTGGCCTGCCTTTTTTTGTGTGTGCTTTTTATAGTGACTAGTTAGTTTTTCTTTTCCAGAATTTTGTGTAATTTTTAATGAAATGGTGCCGTTCATAACTTCACATTTTCATCCATTGCTTATTTTAAGATTGCTGGTGAATGGGACCACCTCTCACCGCAGGACACCGTGGGAGCACCTCTCCACAGGACACCGTGGGAGCACCTTTGCAGGACACCGTGGGAGTACCACCACAGGTCACTGGGAGCACCTCTCCGCAGGTCACCGTGGGAGTAGCTCTGCAGTGCAGTTTATAACTTTACATTTTCATTGATTCTTTATTTTCAGGTTGGTGAATGGGAGCACCTCCCTCCGCAGGACACCGTGGGAGAACCTCCGCAGGGCACCGTGGGAACACCTCTCTGCAGGACACCGTGGGAGCACCTCTCCGCAGGTCACCGTGGGAGTAACTGCAGTGCAGTTTATAACTTCACATTTTCCTTGATTCTTTATTTTCAGGTTGGTGAATGGGAGCACCTCTCCGCAGGACACCATGGGAGCACCTCTCTCTGCAGGACACCGTGGTGGCACCTCCGCAGGACACCGTGGTGGCACCTCTGCAGGACACCGTGGTGGCACCTCCGCAGGACATCGTGGGAGCACCTCTCTTTGTGGTTAGTTTGTAGATTCTTTCACCCAGGTAGGTCTGCAGGGTACTTCTTCTGCAGGACACCGTGGTGGCACCTCCGCAGGACACCGTGGTGGCACCTCCGCAGGACACCGTGGTGGCACCTCCGCAGGACATCGTGGGAGCACCTCTCTTTGTGGTTAGTTTGTAGATTCTTTCAACCTGTGGTAGGTCTGCAGGGTACTTCTTTCCGCAGGACACCATGGGAGCAGCTATCTCCGCAGGACACCGTGGTGGCACCTCCGCAGGACACCGTGGTGGCACCTCCGCAGGACACCGTGGTGGCACCTCTGCAGGACATCGTGGGAGCACCTCTCTTTGTGGTTAGTTTGTAGATTCTTTCAACCTGTGGTATTGTCTGCAGGGCATCTCTTTCCGCAGAACACCGTGGGAGCAGCTATCTCCGCAGGACACCGTGGCAGCACCTCTCTGCAGGTGACCGTGGGAACTTGCACTCAGTAGGAGACTGGGAACTTGCTCCCAGTAGGAGACCCTGCGAACTCCCTCACCGGAGATCATGGGAACTTGGTGTCTAGGAGATCATGGGAACTTGCTTTCTATAGGAGACCGTGGGAACGTGCTCTGTAGGAGGCCGTGGGAACTCCCTCACCGGAGATCATGGGGACTAAGTGTCTGTAGGGGATCGTGGGAACTTGCTTTCTGTAGGAGACCGTGGGAACGTGCTCCTTGTAGGAGGCCGTGGAAACTTCCTCTCTGTAGGAGACTGGAACTCCCTCACCGGAGATCATGGGAACTCCCTCACCGGAGATCATGGGAACTTGCTTTCTGTAGGAGACTGTGGGAACTTGCTTTCTGTAGGAGACTGTGGGAACTTGCTTTCTGTAGGAGACTGTGGGAACTTGCTTTCTGTAGGAGACTGTGGGAACTTGCTCTGTAGGGGATCGTGGGAACTTTCTCTGTAGGGGATCGTGGGAACTTGCTCTCTGTAGGAGACTGGGAACTTAGTGTCTGTAGGAGACCGTGGGAACTTGGTGTCTAGGAGATCGTGGGAACTTGCTCTTTGTAGGAGGCCGTGGAAACTTCCTCTCTGTAGGAGACTGGAACTCCCTCACCGGAGATCATGGGAACTCCCTCACCGGAGATCATGGGAACTTGCTTTCTGTAGGAGACTGTGGGAACTTGCTTTCTGTAGGAGACTGTGGGAACTTGCTTTCTGTAGGAGACTGTGGGAACTTGCTTTCTGTAGGAGACTGTGGGAACTTGCTTTCTGTAGGAGACTGTGGGAACTTGCTCTGTAGGGGATCGTGGGAACTTTCTCTGTAGGGGATCGTGGGAACTTGCTCTCTGTAGGAGACTGGGAACTTAGTGTCTGTAGGAGACCGTGGGAACTTGGTGTCTAGGAGATCGTGGGAACTTGCTCTTTGTAGGAGGCCGTGGGAACTTGCTCTCTGTAGGAGACTGGGAACTCCCTCACCGGAGATCATGGGGATTTAGTGTCTGTAGGAGATCGTGGGAACGTGCTCTCTGTAGGAGACTGTGGGAACTCCCTCACCGGAGATCATGGGAACTTATTGTCTGTAGGAGATCGTGGGAACTTGCTATCTGTGGGAGACCGTGGGAACTTGCTCTCTGTAGGAGACCGTGGGGACTTCGTGTCTGTAGGGTATCGTGGGAACTTGCTCTCTGTAGGAGACTGTGGGAACGTGCTCTCTGTAGGAGACCGTGGGAACGTGCTCTCTGTAGGAGACCGTGGGAACTCCCTCACCGGAGATCATGGGAACTTAGTGTGTGTAGGAGATCGGGGAACTTGCTCTGTAGAAGTGTGGGGCGAGGTCTGTAGGATCGTGGAACTTGCTTTCTGTGGGAGACTGTGGGAACTTGCTCACCGGAGATCATGGGAACTTAGTGCCTGTAGGAGATCGTGGGAACTTGTTGTGGGAGACTGTGGGAACTCCCTCACCGAGATCATGGGGACTTCTGTGTCTGTAGGTATCGTGGGAACTTGCTCTTGTAGGAGACTGTGGGAACTTAGTCTGTAGGAGATCGTGGGAACTTGCTTGTGGGAGACCGTGGAACTTGCTCACCGGAGATCATGGGAACTTAGTGCCTGTAGGAGATCGGGAACTTGCTTTCTGTGGAGACCGTGGGAACCTCACCGGAGATCATGGGGACTTCGTGTCTGTAGGGTATTGGGGAACTTGCTCTCTGTAGGAGACTGGGAACGTGCTCTAGGAGACCCTGGGGACCTAGGTCTGTAGGGGATCGTAGGAACTCTCACCGAGATAATGGGAACTTAGTGCCAAGGATCGTGGAACTTGCTCTCTGTAGGAGACCGGGGAACTTGCTCTCTGTAGGAGACTGTGGGAACTGCTTCTGTAGGAGACCGGGGAACTTGCTTTCTGGAGATCGTGGGAACGTGCTCTCTAGGAGACCCTGGGGACTTAGTGTCTGTAGGAGACCGTGGGAACTCCTCACCGGAGATAATGGAACTTAGTGCCTGTAGGAGATCGTGGGAACTTGCTTTCTGTGGGAGATCGTGGAAACTTGCTTTCTGTAGGAGACCCTGGGACTTAGTGCTTGTAGGGGATCGTAGGAACTTGCTCTTAGGAGACCGTGGAACTTGCTCTCTGTAGGAGACCGGGGAACTTCTCTCTCTAGGAGACCGTGGGAACTCCTCACCGAGATAATGGAACTTAGTGTCTGTAGGGTATCGTGGGAACTTGCTCTGTAGGAGATCAGGGAACGTGCTCTGTAGGAGACCGTGGAACTTAGTGTCTGTAGGATCGTAGGAACTTGCTCTCTGGAGATCAGGGAACTCCCTCACCGGAGATGATGGGAACTTAATGCCTGTAGGAGATCGTGGGAACTTGCTTTCTGTGGGAGATCGTGGGAACTTGCTCTCTGTAGGAGACCCTGGGGACTTAGTGTCTGTAGGAGACCGGGAACTTGGTGTCTATAGGATCGTGGGAACTTGCTCTTTGTAGGAGGCCGGGAACTTGCTTTCTGTGGGAGACCGGGGAACTTGCTCTCTGTAGGAGACCGTGGGGCTTAGTGTCTGTAGGGGATCGGGGAACTTGCTCTCTGTAGGAGAGATCAGGGAACGTGCTCTGTAGGAGACCGTGGGGCTTAGTGTCTGTAGGGATCGTGGGAACTTGCTCTGTAGGAGATCTGGGAACTTAGTGTCTGTAGGAGATCGTGAATGCTCTCTGTAGGAGACCGTGGGGACTCCCTCACCGGAGATCATGGGAACTTAGTGCCTGTAGGAGATCGTGGGAACTTGCTTTCTGTGGGAGACCGTGGGAACTTGTCTCTGTAGGAGACCGTGGAACTTGCTCTCTGTAGGAGACAACCCCTCACCGGAGATCATGGGGACTTAGTGTCTGTAGGGTATCGGGAACTAGTGTCTGTAGAGATTGGGGAACTTGCTCTCTGTAGGAGACTGTGGAACCTCCGTCACCGGAGATCATGGGAACTTAGTGTCTGTAGGAGACCGGAACTTGCTCTCTGTAGGAGACCGTGGGAACTTGCTCTGTAGGAGACTGGGAACTCCCTCACCGGAGATCATGGGAACTTAGTGTGTGTAGGGTATCGAACTTAGTGTCTGTAGGAGATCGTGGGAACTTGTTTCTGTGGGAGACCGTGGGAACTTCTGTTCTGTAGGAGACCGTGGAACTGTTCTCTGTAGGAGACTGGGAACTCCCTCACGAGACTGGAGTTTAGGGTGTGTAGGGTATCGGGGAACTTAGTGCCTGTAGGAGATCGTGGAACTTGCTTTCTGTGGGAGACCGTGGGAACTTGCTCTGTAGGAGACCGTGGGAACTTGCTCTGTAGGAGACTGGGAACTCCCTCACCGGAGATCATGACTTAGTGTCTGTAGGGTATCGTGGGAACTTAGTGTCTGTAGGAGACTGGGGGAACTTGCTCTCTGTGGGAGACCGTGGGAACTCCGTCACCGGGAGATCATGGGAACTTAGTGTCTGTAGGAGACCGTGGAACTTCTGTTTCTGTAGGAGACCGTGGGAACTTGCTCTCTGTAGGAGACTGGGAACTCCTCTACCGGAGATCATGGGGACTTCGTGTCTGTAGGGTATCGTGAACTTAGTGTCTGTAGGAGACTGGGGAACTTGCTTCTGTAGGAGACCGTGGAACTCCGTCACCGGAGACTATGGGAACTAGTGTCTGTAGGAGACTGTGGGAACTTGCTCTCTGTAGAGACTGTGGAACTCCGTCACCGGAGATCATGGAACTTAGTGTCTGTAGGAGACCGTGGGAACTTGCTCTCTGTAGGAGACCGTGGGAACTCCCTCACCGAGATCATGGGAACTTAGTGCCTGTAGGGGATCGGGAACTTGCTTTCTGTGGGAGACCGGGGAACTTGCTCTCTGTAGGAGACCGTGGAACTTGCTCTCTGTAGGAGACCCTGGGGACTTAGGTCTGTGGAGATCGTGGGAACGTGCTCTCTGTAGGA